ACTCTTGTGTTGGCTGCTTGGAAGATATATTTTGTGGACCAGACTAGACTCTTGTGTTGGCTGCCTGAAAGATATATTTTGTGGACCAGACTAGACTCTTCTGTTGGCGGCCTGAAAGATATATTTTGTGGACCAAACTAGACTCTTGTGTTGGCTACCTGGAAGATATATTTTGTGGACCAGACTAGACTCTTGTGTTGGCTACCTGGATGATATATTTTGTGGACCAGACTAGACTCTTCTTTTGGCTGCCTGGATGATATATTTTTTGGGCCAGACTAGACTCTTGTGTTGGCTTCCTGGAAGATATATTTTGTGGGCCAGACTAGACTCTTGTGTTGGCTTCCTGGAAGATATATTTTGTGGACAAGACTAGACTCTTGTGTTGGCTGCCTGGATGATATATTTTGTGGACCAGACTAGACTCTTCTGTTGGCTGCCTGGAAGATATATTTTGTGGACCAGACTAGACTCTTGTGTTGGCTGCCTGGATGATATATTTTGTGGACCAGACTAGACTCTTCTGTTGGCTGCCTGGATGATATATTTTGTGGGCCAGACTAGACTCTTGTGTTGGCTTCCTGGAAGATATATTTTGTGGACCAGACTAGACTCTTGTGTTGGCTGCCTGGATGATATATTTTGTGGACCAGACTAGACTCTTGTGTTGGCTGCCTGGATTATATATTTTTGGACCAGATTAGACTCTTGTGTTGGCTGCCTGGATGATATATTTTGTGGACCAGACTAGACTCTTGTGTTGGCTGCCTGGATGATATATTTTGTGGACCAGACTAGACTCTTGTGTTGGCTGCCTGGAAGATATATTTTGTGTACCAGACTAGACTCTTGTGTTGGATGCCTGGATGATATATTTTGTGGACCAGTCTAGACTCTTGTGTTGACTGCCTGAAAGATATATTTTGTGGACCAGACTAGACTCTTGTGTTGGCTGCCTGGATGATATATTTTGTGGACCAGACTAGACTCTTGTGTTGGATGCCTGGATGATATATTTTGTGGACCAGACTAGACTCTTGTGTTGGCTGCCTGGATGATATATTTTGTGGACCAAACTAGACTCTTGTGTTGGCTGCCTGGATGATATATTTTGTGGACCAGACTAGACTCTTGTGTTGGCTGCCTGGATGATATATTTTGTGGACCAGACTAGACTCTTGTGTTCGCTGACTGAAAGATATATTTTGTGGACCAGACTAGACTCTTGTGTTGGCTGCCTGGATGATATATTTTGTGGACTAGACTAGACTCTTGTGTTGGCTGCCTGGAAGATATATTTTGTGGACCAGACTAGACTCTTGTGTTGGCTGCCTGGAAGATATATTTTGTGGACCAGACTAGATTCTTCTGTTGGCTGCCTGAAAGATATATTTTGTGGACCAAACTAGACTCTTGTGTTGGCTACCTGGAAGATATATTTTGTGGACCAGACTAGACTCTTGTGTTGGCTACCTGGATGATATATTTTGTGGACCAGACTAGACTCTTCTGTTGGCTGCCTGGATGATATATTTTTTGGGCCAGACTAGACTCTTGTGTTGGCTTCCTGGAAGATATATTTTGTGGACCAGACTAGACTCTTGTGTTGGCTGCCTGGATGATATATTTTGTGGGCCAGACTAGACTCTTGTGTTGGCTTCCTGGAAGATATATTTTGTGCACCAGACTAGACTCTTGTGTTGGCTACCTGGATGATATATTTTGTGGACCAGACTAGACTCTTGTGTTGGCTGCCTGGAAGATATATTTTGTGGACCAGACTAGACTCTTCTGTTGGCTGCCTGGATGATATATTTTGTGGGCCAGACTAGACTCTTGTGTTGGCTGCCTGGATGATATATTTTGTGGACCAGACTAGACTCTTGTGTTGGCTGCCTGGATGATATATTTTGTGGACCAGACTAGACTCTTCTGTTGGCTGCCTGGATGATATAGTTTGTGGGCCAGACTAGACTCTTGTGTTGGCTTCCTGGAAGATATATTTTGTGGACCAGACTAGACTCTTGTGTTGGCTGCCTGGATGATATATTTTGTGGACCAGACTAGACTCTTGTGTTGGCTGCCTGGATTATATATTTTTGGACCAGATTAGACTCTTGTGTTGGCTGCCTGGATGATATATTTTGTGGACCAGACTAGACTCTTGTGTTGGCTGCCTGGATGATATATTTTGTGGACCAGACTAGACTCTTGTGTTGGCTGCCTGGAAGATATATTTTGTGGACCAGACTAGACTCTTGTGTTGGATGCCTGGATGATATATTTTGTGGACCAGTCTAGACTCTTGTGTTGGCTGCCTGAAAGATATATTTTGTGGACTAGACTAGACTCTTGTGTTGGCTGCCTGGAAGATATATTTTATGGACCAGATAAGACTCTTGTGTTGGCTGCTTGGAAGATATATTTTGTGGACCAGACTAGACTCTTGTGTTGGCTGCCTGGATGATATATTTTGTGTCCCAGACTAGACTCTTGTGTTGGCTGCCTGGATGATATATTTTGTGGACCAGACTAGACTCTTCTTTTGGCTGCCTGGATGATATATTTTGTGGACCAGACTAGACTCTTGTGTTGGCTGCCTGGATGATATATTTTGTGGACCAGACTAGACTCTTGTGTTGGCTGCCTGGATGATATATTTTGTGGACCAGACTAGATTCTTGTGTTGGCTGCCTGGATGATATATTTTGTGGACCAGACTAGACTCTTGTGTTGGATGCCTGGATGATATATTTTGTGGACCAGACTAGACTCTTGTGTTGGCTGCCTGGATGATATATTTTGTGGACCAAACTAGACTCTTGTGTTGGCTGCCTGGATGATATATTTTGTGGACCAGACTAGACTCTTGTGTTGGCTGCCTGGATGATATATTTTGTGGACCAGACTAGACTCTTGTGTTCGCTGACTGAAAGATATATTTCGTGGACCAGACTAGACTCTTGTGTTGGCTGCCTGGATGATATATTTTGTGGACTAGACTAGACTCTTGTGTTGGCTGCCTGGAAGATATATTTTGTGGACAAGATAAGACTCTTGTGTTGGCTGCTTGGAAGATATATTTTGTGGACCAGACTAGACTCTTGTGTTGGCTGCCTGGAAGATATATTTTGTGGACCAGACTAGACTCTTGTATTGGCTGCCTGGATGATATATTTTGTGGACTAGACTAGACTCTTGTGTTGGCTGCCTGGAAGATATATTTTGTGGACCAGACTAGACTCTTGTGTCGGCTGCCTGGATGATATATTTTGTGGGCCAGACTAGACTCTTGTGTTGGCTGCCTGGAAGATATATTTTGTGGACCAGACTAGACTCTTGTGTTGGCTGCCTGGAAGATATATTTTGTGGACCAGACTAGACTCTTGTGTTGGCTGCCTGGATGATATATTTTGTGGACCAGACTAGACTCTTGTGTTGGCTGCCTGGATGATATATTTTGTGGACCAGACTAGACTCTTCTGTTGGCTGCCTGAAAGATATATTTCGTGGACCAGACTAGACTCTTGTGTTGGCTACCTGGAAGATATATTTTGCGGACCAGACTAGACTCTTGTGTTGGCTTCCTGGAAGATATATTTTGTGGACCACACTAGACTCTTGTGTTGGCTGCCTGGAAGATATATTTTGTGGACCAGACTAGACTCTTGTGTTGGCTGCCTGGAAGATATATTTTGTGGACCAGACTAGACTCTTGTGTTGGCTGCCTGAAAGATATATTTTTTGGACCAGACTAGACTCTTGTGTTGGCTGCCTGGAAGATATATTTTGTGGACCAGACTAGACTCTAGTGTTAGCTGCCTGGATGATATATTTTGTGGACCAGACTAGACTCTTGTGTTGACTGCCTGGATGATATATTTTGTGGACCAGACTAGACTCATGTGTTGGCTGCCTGGATGATATATTTTGTGGAACAGACTAGACTCTTGTGTTGGCTGCCTGGATGATATATTTTGTGGACCTGACTAGACTCTTGTGTTGGCTGCCTGGATGATATATTTTGTGGACCAGACTAGACTCTTTTGTTGGATGCCTGGATGATATATTTTGTGGACCAGACTAGACTCTTGTGTTGGATGCTTGAAAATATATTTTGTGGACCAGACTAGACTCTTGTGTTGGCTGCCTGGATGATATATTTTGTGGGCCAGACTAGACTCTTGTGTTGGCTTCCTGGAAGATATATTTTGTGGACCAGACTAGACTCTTGTGTTGGCTGCCTGGATGATATATTTTGTGGACCAGACTAGACTCTTGTGTTGGCTGCCTGGATGATATATTTTGTGGACCAGACTAGACTCTTGTGTTGGCTGCCTGGATGATATATTTTGTGGACCAGACTAGACTCTTGTGTTGGCTGCCTGGAAGATATATTTTGTGGACCAGACTAGACTCTTGTGTTGGCTGCCTGGATGATATATTTTGTGGACCAGACTAGACTCTTGTGTTGGCTGCCTGGATGATATATTTTGTGGACCAGACTAGACTCTTGTGTTGGCTGCCTGGAAGATATATTTTGTGGACCAGACTAGACTCTTGTGTTGGCTGCCTGGAAGATATATTTTGTGGACCAGACTAGACTCTTGTGTTGGCTGCCTGGAAGATATATTTTGTGGACCAGACTAGACTCTTGTGTTGGCTGCCTGGAAGATATATTTTGTGGACCAGACTAGACTCTTGTGTTGGCTGCCTGGAAGATATATTTTGTGGACCAGACTAGACTCTTGTGTTGGCTGCCTGGATGATATATTTTGTGGACCAGACTAGACTCTTGTGTTGGCTGCCTGGAAGATATATTTTGTGGACCAGACTAGACTCTTGTGTTGGCTGCCTGGAAGATATATTTTGTGGACCAGACTAGACTCTTCTGTTGGCTGCCTGGAAGATATATTTTGTGGACCAGACTAGACTCTTGTGTCGTAGATTAAATCTAGCATTTAAATCTGTTTTTTTTTAAAAAACTTTTAATCTCCTACCTTTTCCGTCACCAAAACGTGTGACTAACGTTTGTCTGCAGTCGTTTGCCTCATTACGTGATGACCCTCGACTCTCACACACATAAATACTGAAGCACTCTGTATCTCTCAGTAAAATTATCAAAATTGGATTGACCACAGGAATAGGATTGGCAGGTGGTCGATAATTCATTTTAGCCTGTCAATTAATGTCGTATTTATTTCCGAGACTGTTTATATATATGCCAATATTGAAACTTGGTTAAATATTTTAAAGAAATTATGCTAGCACTATTTAAGATAGTTTACATATATATATATATATATATATATATATATATATATATATATATATATATATATATTTATTTATTTATATATACACATATATATTTATACACCCACACACACGCACACACAGATATACGGACAAGATTGCAAAACTATATTTATCCGACTCCGCAATTTGTAAAAATCTCGAATTTTTTTTTACGATTACAATACTTCCTCTGTACGAGAAAGTAAAAAAAATGGCTTAGATACGGGCAAGATTGCAAAACGATGGAAAACGGGGTTATAACAGGATTATTTTCCACGATTACAAAAAAATCCAAATTTAGTGCTGTGTCGACAAGCCCGCGTGTGTAATGGATTATTTAACATTTTTGACAGATTGGGTATTAGTTTTATTTCATTTAGCACAACTTTTTACATTCGGACTTCTATAAAATTAACGGTTTTTTTAAACAACTGCATCGATATTAGGGTTACATATAGTCGTTACCTGACTCTGAATAATACTGTTATGATTAGATAACTTAGTTACCTGGCTCTGAATAATACTGTTATGATTAGATAACTTAGTTACTTGGCTCTGAATAATACTGTTATGATTAGATAACTTAGTTACCTGGCTCTAAATAATACTGTTATCATTAGATAACTTAGTTACCTGGCTCCGAATAATACTGTTATCATTAGATAACTTAGTTACCTGGCTCTGAATAATACTGTTATGATTAGATAACTTAGTTACCTGACTCTGAATAATACTGTTATGATTAGATAACTTAGTTACCTGGCTCTGAAAAATACTGTTATGATTAGATAACTTAGTTACCTGGCTCTGAATAATACTGTTATGATTAGATAACTTAGTTACCTGGCTCTGAATAATACTGTTATGATTAGATAACTTAGTTACCTGGCTCTGAATAATACTGTTATCATTAGATAACTTAGTTACCTGGCTCTGAATAATACTGTTATAATTAGATAACTTAGTTACTTGGCTCTGAATAATACTGTTATGATTAGATAACTTAGTTACCTGGCCCTCAATAATACTGTTATGATTAGATAACTTAGTTACCTGGCTGTGAATAATACTGTTATGATTAGATAACTTAGTTACCTGTCTCTGAATAATACTGATATGATTAGATAACTTAGTTACCTGGCTCTGAATAATACTGTTATGATTAGATAACTTAGTTACCTGGCTCTGAATAATACTGTTATAATTAGATAACTTAGTTACTTGGCTCTGAATAATACTGTTATGATTAGATAACTTTGTTACCTGACTCTGAATAATACTGTTATGATTAGATAACTTAGTAACCTGGCTCTGAATAATACTGTTATGATTAGATAACTTAGTTACCTGGCTCTGAATAATACTGTTATGATTAGATAACTTAGTTACCTGGCTCTGAATAATACTGTTATGATTAGAAAACTTAGTTACCTGGCTCTGAATAATACTGTTATGATTAGATAACTTAGTCACCTGACTCTGAATAATACTGTTATGATTAGATAACTTAGTTACCTGGCCCTGAATAATGCCGTTTACAATCTTAACGTCACACCAATATCCTCTGACCATTAAAAGACCGACGTCAAAGATTATTATCTGGTATGTAGTGCCCTCGTTTGGAACAAAGTTTATTTTTGGAGGATTGCGGTAAACTTCAGATCCTCGCTAGAAAATGAAATGTCTTCATATTTAGTTAGATTTTTTAAAATTAAAAAATATAGTAAAAGCAGTAATATACATATTTTCCAAACTGTATCTCTTTTAAAAACGGATAATCTGTTTGAAAAGTAATTAATCATTTGCGTTGAAAAATGTGTTACTGTTAAATTTTAGCTAAATTAAATCTTTATTTAATTATTTTACTGCGTAATTGTAATGCAGAACAAAATTGTGTTCGTAGAAAGGACTGTATTGCCTTTTTAAATCCTTGACGTTTTCAATATTTACTCAATCAATCTAGCGCTGGGCACTAGAGACATGCTTAGTGTGTACTTGATATACATGCGACACCGTCCAATGGTCTAATGACTAATATAGACTATGATTAGGTGTTGGTCCCAGGGTGGAAAATGCGAGGGAGACAATGACAACATTTGATGAAGGACATCACGGAATGAACTGTGGCTATGAGATATATAGAAAGATAGACGTGAATAATGGAGAGCAAATTGCTCTCCAAGCTTATAAATAGTTTGTATTGTCACTTTTTCATTATTGATCAGTAAAAATCCTCAGATTTCTATAATTTAAATATTTTTTAGGCCCATCAGATGGTCTTAAATTATTTATGCTTGTCAGATGTCAAATGTTTTAAGCCAGCGTATTATAAAGTGTTCACCTCTAACATTGCCTTGCTTGCATGTCCATCTTCATCAAGTTTAAATGCCCTGACTTCTTTCATAACTTGTGCTTTACCGCATACGTCAACAGGTTCTGTCAACAACAAAAATGGTGTTGCTAAGTTTACACCACACATCTGCAACCAACTTACATACATTTTAGAACATATATATATATATATATATATATATATATATATATATATATATATATATATATATATATATATCTATAATATAATCGGGCAAGTAGTGTGTCAGTCCTTCCTTCCGTCATCGCTATAGCTTTTGGAACCATAAAAGTATTAGAGTAGGGTTTGTTTATATAGCGGCATAGAGCTATTTTATAAATGCCACTGTGTTTACTCTTTTGCATAACTTAAATAAAATATTAAATACACGCACATGACTAAAACATATTTAAAAAATCAATGTTAAATATCATTTTCGTTTATATTCCTAGAAAAAATGGATATATTTTTATGAAAGTAGGTCAAAGAAACTAATTAATTCAACTTTTTTTTGGTAATTTTTTGCAAGGGAGGTAATTTGAAAATATATTTAACTCATCAATTCCATTCTAAGTTAATTTTTTTTTATTACTACCGCATTGATTACTATATGTTAAGGTTCATAATTAAAAGAGAAAAATGTTAAGATTATTAATATTATTTATTATCATTTTCTAATTAGTCTATGATTTCTCAAAAAATCACTATCTTTTTGCTTTTGTTTTTCGGTGTTATGAAAACAGATGGTGAAATTAGACTTTTTGAGAAGAATGGAAAGGCTGTCTCTGAGCGCGGACGTATGGGAAAAAGTGTTTTATTTTTTAATATTCAACTCACTCTCAATAATTTAAGTTAATTTTTGTTATTACTTCCACATTGATTATTATATGTAAAGGTTCATAAGTAAAATAGAAAAATGTTAAGGTTATTTATATTATTTTCTAATAAGTCTATGATCTCTCAAAATCACTATTTTTTGTTTTTGTTTTTCGGTGTTAACAGATGGTGAAATTTTAGGATTATAGTATAGAGAAGGCTGAAAAGGCTCTTTCTGGGCGCGGACGCCTGGGAAAAGCGTGTTTTTCGGTGGTGATTCTAATTACATTACCAATGTGTTTTCTTAGAACCATAAAAGTAAACGCCACTTGCCGTACATTTATTTGCATCGCATTGTTTTATTGTAAGTTATGGAGTAGGATCTATTTATGTGACTTAAATAAAGGCTCTCTTTGGGCGCGGACGCCTAAAAAAGCGTGTTGTTTGGTGGTGATTCTAATGTTGTGGCTGTGGTTGTGTTGTGGTTGTGTTGTGGTTGTGTTGAGGTTGTGTTGTGGTTGCGTTGTGGTTGTGTTGTGGTTGCGTTGAGGTTGTGTTGTGGTTGTGTTGAGGTTGTGTTGTGGTTGTGTTGTGGTTGTGATGTGATTGTGTTGTGGTTGTGTTGTGTTTGTGTTGTGGTTGTGTTTTGTTTGTGTTGTGGTTGTGTTGTGGTTGCGTTGTGGTTGTGTTGTTGTGTTGTGTTGTGGTTGTGTTGTGTTTTGTTTGTATTGTGGTTGAGTTGTGGTTGCGTTGTGGTTGTGTTGTTGTGTTGTGTTGTGGTTGTGTTGTGGTTGTGTTGTGGTTGTGTTGTGGTTGTGTTTTGTTTGTATTGTGGTTGTGTTGTGGTTGCGTTGAGGTTGTGTTGTTGTGTTGTGTTGTGGTTGTGTTGTGGTTGTGTTGTGGTTGTGTTTTGTTTGTGTTTATGTTTGTGTTGTGTTTTTGTTCGTTTTGTTCTGTTCCAAAAATGTACATTTAAAAAGATTTACCGTGGCGGAGCACGGGATGCAGCTAGTATGTATATAATGTGGTTATATTAAATGTGCTTTTAGTTGTAAAACACGCAGCTTTAGTACGAATAAACCGAACATTTAAAAACAATTTGGTAAAGTCTAAAAAAAACCTTCTGGGCTATCAAACACAACATCCAGATCCACTGAAAGTTGAACGGTGCTAGGTATTCCTGCTCGCTGTAAAACTGATTCAGCCTGAGTTCTGGAGAAGTAAAAAGGGCTCGCTTAATTAATTAACTAATGAAGTCTCTGATTAAACAAAAAAAAAAAAACACTGACATTTTTGACTGAGGACGTGCTTGTGTAAAACTCAACTTGTATAATGATTGTTTTCTAGTGAGGGAGAATGTACAATTATAGCATGAGGTCTTTATGGTGGCATTTTTTTAAACATCTAAGCAAATAATATATATATATATATATATATATATATATATATATATATATGTATATGTATATATATATACATACATACATACATACATACATATATATATATATATATATATATATATATATATATATATATATATATATATATATATATATATATATATATATATATATATATATATATATATATATATATATATATATATATAAAGACGCTGTTAAATTCCCGCCTTATGAAATTATGATAGTAAAAAAAAACTTAACTGCTCCGTAAAAAGTGAGAAAATCTTAATTTCCCAAAGCAACAACAAAAGCCTAACTAAAGTGTAATGAATGCAACTAGCCTGTAGTTGAAACATCGAGTGAGATCTTTGGTCGAGTCAGGACATGCCTTCTTGTAACAATCGCCAAACCACGGCCAGGATTTGTCATTCAGACGAGCGAGAAGCCGAGTGCGATCTGAAATTTGATTTCACCTGAGTACAAGTAAACTGATCCAGAGGTGGGGGCGGGGGTTAGGACCGCACCGGGTGACACCAACACAAACTATTGCAAGATATATTGAAGAAAAATGCTTTTTGTCTGTTCAGTTAATGATTAATTAGAGATAAAACAGTATTTTAAGTACAAATTAAAGCTCCCGACGATGGGGGTAGGATTAGTCATTCAATGTCCGGAGTGGGAGTGACACTATTGTACGATGAAAACGTTGTTTTTCAAACTTTAATTAATAGGTGGATTAAAATAATGTTCGCACCAATTCATGCCATCTAGGGTTGACACCAATGCACGTATTACATATATATATATATATATATATATATATATATATATATATATATATATATATATATGTGTATTATATATATGTATTATATATATATATATATATATATATATATATATATATATATATATATATATATATATATATATATATATATATATTTATATATATATATATATATGCTTTTTTCTATTGGGGGGGGGGGGGATGAGGGTGACACCATGAGGTGCCGCACCGAGTGATACTCGGCCTATTTCTAAAATATTTAATGGGAATTTCGAGTAATCTCAAGACTAATCTCGGTCCCCTGCATATTGAGATGAAGCAGATTAACTAGAATATGTAGGAACCAACAGGATGCGAGCTGATGATGAAATGAGTTGGATAATGTCGTTAAATAGCTTTGATGAAACCTCAGCTGCAACATATTCCGGGTGTTTCTTTTCAACGCCCAGTTGTCTTCTTTCTTCTTCTTCGTTCTTAATAATTAGTGTAACTCGAGACTTTTTGTTCGAATTTATCAACCATGAGCTTTTTGCCGACTCGACTACGCCTCATACACAATTAAGCGTTACGTGTCAACTTGTTATGCGCCAATGAGGCCATTGACTCCGCTTTCAGCCTGCTTTTCTTTTTGGATTTGCTTCCATAGCCTTTGTCCAACCAAGGCAGTAGTTGATTAATTTTGGAGTTGTCTCTCCTAGAAGAGCCTCATCTGCCCCGAGACTTTTCGGTTTATCAACCATGAGCTTTACCGACTCGACCACGCCGACCCCTAAAGCCCAGTCAAATCCTCTCTTATGGTTACTCATATCTATAATTTAGCTCATATGTCAAAGCAAATTTTAGCTCGCTCGACAGCTCGTATCTAAAAAAAAGCCCATACGTCGAGCCACTCGTATGTCGAGGTAACACTACACACACGCGCGCACGCGCACACACACGCACACAAACACAAACACACACACAGACAGACACACACACACACACACAGAGTGACGGTTATTAGGGGCAGATATTTTAGTTTTTAAACGATATATTAATGATCATCTGTAAACGGCTGCTTTCACTGAGCGGAGTGGGGTGGTTGGAGGGTGGGGGAGGCAGGGGGTTGAGGTTGTGTCGAATTCACAAATTATGAATTGTTGATAAGTAGAAAATAAAACAACTAGAAAACGGCGTATGCTACGTCGCGGGTCAGCTCGTACATAATATTTATTAATGTTCTCTTGTAAACACTGGTAAGTCACCTTAAATATCGACACCAACAAATTGTCTGTCTTTGTATCACAGTGATA